CTGATTTTCCATAAAAGTTATACGTTATAAAACTTAATATTTTTATAGAATTTTTATATCAAATTTTTTATTGGGCTGTATTACACCTGAGAATAAAGAATTTTTTCAAAATACGAAATCATATTTGTCACTTTTTTTTCACCTTATGTAATCATAGAAATATTTTTTATCCTGTATCATTCTCTGAGTATAGATATTTTTTTCAGAATATGAAATTATATTTGTTACTTTTTATTCATCACATTGTTAATTTATTAATATTATAATGCTGACCAAAATCACATAGATGAAAAACTTGATGGTAATACTAGAGTAGCTTACAAAATTTATATACATACATAAATTTAATAAAAAAATGAAAAAAAGAAAAGGATTGCTTATTTAATTAAAAGTAAATATTTTAAATATTTATCTCATTGCTATATAATAATTTTTATACTATTGAATAGATAAGTCTTATGATTACTAATGGTCATCTGTGATTTTTTATATTGATATTTTAATACTAGTAAAAATATCAAAGTTTATTTAATGCAAATCATTAACATTTAATTATATAGTATATTATTATTTATAATATAAATACATATTACATTTTAAAAGTTACATTATTAAAATGACAATTATTAAAAATAGGAAGTTTCTTTTGAATATCATTAGCAAAAGAAAATTCTGATGTTATAATAAAAATTGCTAGTTGAATATCAACATTTGTATTTTTACTTGTTGAATCAGTAAGAATTGTATCCATAGTAATAAGATGTTATTTTTTATTTACTTCTTTATATGCACAAATATCTTGAATACTTTTGTGACCTATTACTCCTATTATAGCATCTTCTGAAATATTAGCATTCTGAAGAATTTGAGTAACCGTTTTACAACTAGAATGGTTTATTAAAAGACCAAGTGAAAGTTCTACTTTAACAGACTTTTCAATATCTTTTATAAAATTTCCTACTTTATTACTTTCATAATGTGTTTGTTTATACTAAATACCAGTCTTACGCCAAAGTGGATTAATATGTAAATAGAAATTTTTAGAAGCATCACTAGGATATTTAGATAAATATTTTTTAATATCATTAATTGATTCTGAATTTAAAGAAGAAAATATACTGTGTAGCTCTTTTTTCAATTTTACGCTGATTGTTTTTGCTACAATAATGGCAAAAAAGCAAACTACCATTAGATAGAAATTGAAATTGATCTACATAAAGATTATAATGTTCACCATCACAAAATGTAAAGTTAGTTGCAATTCAAAAAATACATGATATAAAAGACCTTCAGGGGTATTAAGATTAAGAAAGTTATTAGTAAAAATTTCTTAAACTTACTGTGCAGTCAATGCCATTGATCCCTCTTTTTCACCAAATCCTTTTTTCTTGCAAATCTTTTATTTTTCCATGTAAAACAGTAAATAAATCTGAAAACTCATATTTATCATGTAAATTAATTCCATGTATTAGAGAAACTTTTATCAAATGATGATTAAAAGCATCAACAGCTTGTTTTACTGAATTGCTTTATATTCACCAGATGTTTTTTTTTTTAGTCATTTATGCAATATATTCACAAACTTGTTGTTTAATCAGTTTGGAATTTGTAATCTCCTCAAATGATGTAGTATAATTGCAACTTTTGCGAAATTCTTCAAATTTAGCAACCCAATTTCGAGTTGATCTTTCAGTATTAGGTACCATAGCTTTTTGACGATAAAAATTAAGCTTTTCTTGAATTTCAGATATTTGTGGAGAGGAAGAAGGATTCAAAGTATCTTGAATAGAAGTTGTAATCTCTGGTATCTTTTGAGAATGATAGAAAGTACTTGCATTAATGAAGACAGGGTTAAAAGTTTTGTGAAGTCTCTGTTCTTTATTGGCGCGTTTTTGAGGCATTTAAAATTTTTTGTTTTCAAAAGAGGAGTAAAAGAAGGGAGAAAGAAAGTATGGGAAGTTTATAGCAAAATAAACGTTTTATAATGAAATAAAACTTTTCATAGCAAAATAGATGTTTTATAGTTAAATAGCAAAATAAACTATTAATAAACTAAAATTTTTCATCACAGGCGTCCCCAACGGTGATCACATGGATATCATTGATATTTTCACGGCTGCGCCGAGAAAATCAATGATATCCATTGATCCCCGTGGAATAACTAATACATATGACACTGCGCCTTCTTAATCACAAGATAATGCTATTTTTTAAAAAAACTTCTATATGATTTTTTTTGTTGGTACAACCTAAAATTTTGGGAAAATGATTCTCACGTGTGAAAAATCGTTTATTAAACCACCTGCAAAAAATAGCCCATTGGGCGAAATGATTATATGTTTAAGAAATACTGGTTGAGCTTGTCAAAATTACGCAGATAACATTTTTGGCGCATTACATTATCAAACCTTATGCTTTAAAAATTTCGTCAATTATAATATTGGTTTCATCTCAGTTAGATTTAAGATATATGATGGAAGGGTGGATGCAATCCGCGCCAATTTTCTTTGCTTATGGTATTAAAAGTCTGTCCATCTTTCGAGCTCTTTCTGTTCTTTTCCGCAAAGTATGGGAATTTCCCCTCTAATCTCATTTTTAACCAAAGCACGAGCTCCTTCTTTGACATGAATGAGCTTCAAATCTTTACATAGATTAAATACAGCTTAAAATGGCAGGAAATAAGACCAGTTTTTTTTGTAAAAATTACCGTTAATTTCAATTAAAAATGTAATGTTGAAAAATGAATATTTATAAATAATGCAAAAAATAGCGAATAAAATGCTTTATTAGGAATATTATTTAATGTTACATTATTAAAGTTTTATATCATTTAACTATATATTTTATTATTACTACTAATATGACCAATAAAGTTGAACAACAACAGTAAATCTTCACCAGGAACTCAAATCAATTTCCAGAGCGTATTGTCTAACGCGATCATTAATCCAACGTTTTATATTCCTGGCGACTTTTTTGTCAGCTGTGTGAAAATTTTGTTTTTTGAAATTGACATACTGGTCCTTCGGTAGAACAAAATAAAAGCTGATTTTATTATTTCCCAATTTACCGCCTAATTTTTCACAAAGTTTATCTAGGCCATTCATTTTAACTGGATGTGTACTTCCTACAGTCATTTGGAAGAGCACATTCGGAGAAATAATCGCATCAATGGACTCCCAATTTTTTTGAATCGGCCGATAGTACTTGTTCACTTCAATCTCATCAATTTTAGAATAAAAGCACATTTCCAGCTTTGGAATTTCAATATATGAATCTTTAGAGGTAAAGTCTAAGGGTCGAATTTTGAATTTTCCTCCTTTTTGTAATATTCTATGCGCAATCTCTTCGAATAAGGCACCACGGAGTGAATAGAATGCACTTTCTGACGAACTTGATTTCACAAAGCACTTTAACTCATGTTTGTAACGTTCTTCAATTTTGCTCACTATTCTTTCAGCCACATACTCAGATGCAAACCGCATAATTATTTTTGTGTAGGGTTCTTCGTTTTCTTCTGGATCATCATTTGTGTAAATGTGTGCGAGTTTGTGACTAGAGCAAATGTCACCTTCGGATTCACCAACAAAGTATAATATATTATTGTTAACATTATTAATTGCATGTTCAAGTTCTGCTTGAGAATCATCATCTGTCAACTCCAATACATAGCGAGGGATTCCCCCCCACATATTGTACATTTTTTCAACAGTAATCTTATCAATATTTTTAAAGACGTTAGACCTACATACTTCGATTTCCTCGAGAGTCCATACCGGCATGTAACGTCTTATCCTACCAGTATACCTATCAAAACGTTTATAGTGTTCTTTTCTGGGAGAGCATACGAGAATTGTTTTGGCATTAACATTCTTTGGTTCTATACCATCTGCAATATACCAAGTGTCTTTGTTGTACAAGTATGTATTAATAAGGGTTTGGTTGTCAGTAGTAAAGGCTTCTCCGTCAAAAATAATCGGGGATCGTTCAGTAAAACTTGAATAAACAATTCTTGTATTTGTTTGTTGCGAAAGCAGGTAAAGCAAGTAGAAACCGAAAAAAGTTTTTCCTATTCCCGGATTTCCAGTAATGCGTAATTTTCTTGTACTATCTTTAAAGATAACTTTTTCCATATAACGGTAACTTTTACGGATGTATAAAATAGAAGATCCACCTTCTTTTCCTAAAAAAGTGATTCCCTCGGAAAGTCGGAGGAACTTTTCATTATCATTGATTTTAGCATTTTTCAAGTCTTCCCAAAATTCATCCAGTTCTTTTTCCTTCTGTTTTTCTTTAAAAGGCTCTGTATAAAGACCAAAAAGGTAAAAGTCGATATAAATTGGATGAAAAACGCTAAAAACGTGTCATGTGTACAAACAACACAGTGACAACGTTCAAAATGAAAATGGTTAGTGCGTCACACGACGCAAGGGCTTACCTTTTGATTTGACATATCCCCTCAAATAGTCAACTTTCTCCACATCTTTTGTGATTGTTGAAAGAACATTTTCCACATTAGTTGAGTCTCTGTCGGTGAAAAAAATGCGTAACTCGGTTTTTTCATTACTGGTGAAAGGAAGGTTGTCAATTTTCGTCAAGAAAGAAATTGCTTTATTAGACATTTTTTTATTTTTTTTTTTGAGTTAAAAAAAAAAGAAAAAAAAGGAACCGATAAGACTTTAAAAAGGGAAAAAAGAGGCTTATATATGTTTAAAATTAACGCGTCTTAAATTTGAATAAACTTTATTATTATGAGGACACGTTTTGTAAGTCCGAAGCATTATGTTCTTATTAATATTAGTTGATAAATCGATTCCCTTGAAAAAATTCATCATATGTTATATTTATGTAATCATAATAAGATCTCAACTCGTGATACATGATAAAGTGTTTCGAATACTGCATATCTGGATCGATAATTTCGTTAAAATATATTAGCATATGCTTTATTTGAAAAAAAAAAAAAAATACATAATAAAGGTCATAGAAAGCTACATGATGACGCTACTTCAAACTTGCTATTTGAAAATTCTTGACTAAAGTCAAGGGCATTATCCTTCTGTGATGCTATAAATCATAAAACGAAAAAATTGTTTATTAGCTTGTTGCTTTCTTGCAAATGCACAGGCGAAGTATGTAAACCCATCTTAATTGCTTGGAATTTTCGTCTCCAATATTGTTTTGCTAGACTTTTTCCTCGTGAATGTTGCATCTTCACTTGCAAGACCTTTTTCTTTACACTGCTTGAGTTTTTTTCTGAAAAAAAATTATTTTTCACCGAATAGACTGAATCCGAGTACGATGAATCGATAGTATATATCTCCATCATAGTATGTTTCATCCCAGTTAGTTGCCATGTCATAAGGATTGGGCGTGGTCGAGACACTTGCTCTAGCTGGTATGAACCATACGATCATAATCTGATGCTTCTGCTGAAGTTACATTCTTGATGACGCTTTGAATTTGACTAATAGTTAGGCTCGAGATGGCGTAAGCACTGAGAGTAACTTGCTTAATTTTATCTATTTCCACTCCGCCGTTCCCAAATAAATACAGCTTTTTTGAATTCATAGGGTTTTCGTACACAAGTTTATCGATGTGATGACAGGTAGATGCTCTAGCATTTCTTTGTATATTTGTGATCTAGCTGTTTATTTGAAGCTCCAGTGTCATGGCGAATCTCATCAACTTTATTTTCAAAACTATTTGAATAATAAAGATCTCTTTGTACTTAGCTCATGTTGCACTTTAGAATAAATAGATCTAGAGATGATAACAAATGTTTATAGCTTCACTAAGCAATTCCTTTGTTAATTCTTGTTCTGTTTATTAGTGATCGAAATGTTATCATCATCATTTTCTTGAAACATAGTCATAACTTTTTACCGATTATCATGATTAGTGATAAAGTTACTATTTTTTTTTTGAATTTTTTTGATGATAACCGTTAGTGATCATTTTTTCAAATCCTTTCAAAATTTCCAATGCCTTTCGATTATGAATAGTTTTTGCATCACATGATTATTCAGATAATACTAACTCTCTAGATCTACTAAAGAATTCTAATAATTAAAAGATAAGTTCCGAGCTTGATTTTTAGCTGATTCGCATGAAAGTTTCTTTTCCTTATTATGCTTCCTAATCTCTTACTAATCCTTTTCATGGAAGATATTGCACCGTCTTCAACCATCGTGGCACCCTATGCTAGGGTGCTAGGGCTAGAGGTTGGGTTCGATTAGGATGCATTTGGCGGGTTTAAATGACTTACGCGAGTGGTAAGCAGCCGTGAAGAAGCTATTAGCCACCAAAAAGATGATTACAACTTACAACGATGCTAAACTAGTGGCTGCCGATACCCTAATCAGAAAATATAATGTCTAAAAAAAAAATTTAATTAAAAGAATATTTTTATAGAAATTTTTTTTAAACCTGTGCTTTAAATTTTCTTGTCGAATAAAAAAAAAAGAATAAAAAAAAAATTGATTTTTTTGACTTTTTATTGAAGGATATTTTTTAAGCAATTTATATTTCTCTGTTAGAGACTTGAAAGATTTATTCATTAATTGCTTTTTATGGATAGATTTGGCTATTACAATAACTAATAATTAGAATACGCAATAAGATACAAAATATAAAAAATATTAAAAAATTAACATACAGAAATACATGAAATATAATATGAGCTTAGCAATTAGCCACTAAAACTATTATAATTATTAAATGATTGTTGAAATTGAGTTTGAGGGTTATTAGTAATGATATTTGAGTCTACAGGTATGATAATAATTTTAAATCCAGGGATGTTAAAACTGAAGATATTATGATTTGGTTGTAGAGGATTAGAATTAAGGAAAGGGATATTGTTAACGGATAGTGGTGGATCAACAGTAGTGTTAAGGAAAGGGATATTGTTGGCGGATAGTGGTGGATCAGCATTAGCTTGACCAGTAAGTGGGCCATGCAATGGAGGGTATACTTGAGCTGAAGCATTAGAGCTGGCCACAGTTTGTTGATGGGTATAGTTCATCATGAGTTGACTATTGTGATTAATATTTGATGGATACGCTTGGTTATCATTAAATGTATACAAATAACCATTATCATTGTTGTTTTGTGAAGGATTATTATTCATTTTAATAACGTGTTTTTATTTATTTTGAATTATTATTTTGAAGGTCTTCCGGAGGTTCTTTTATAAATGAATAAATTATAAGGATTGTCACAGGTTTTATTGAAGATCAGGTACTGAGTTAGAACTGAGTTTTGTTATTTAAATCCTCTTTATTTTTCTTTATAGAATACAAAATATTGTTTATGTCATAACCATAATAAATAACATTTGAAGTTATTTATCAAAAAAAAAAAAAAATTTTTTTTTTTTTTTGAAAAAGTAAAGTAAAAAGTATTTGAGAATTGTAACAGCTAAAGTAGCTCAATTTAGCTATCACAAAATCTCAATATTTATACATTGTGTCTGACTTCCACATTTTTTGTAACTAAATTGCACTACTTTATAGCTAAATAAAAAATTTTTTATACATACATTTTTATTTTTAAAAAAAAAAAAAATGATGTAACTATTTGGTTTATACAGTGACTGCTGTTTCTCCCCTTTCTTCCTTTCTATCCTTTTTAGGCGATTATTTTTTTTTTATTTAGGAAGTAGTTTCTCTTAAATTATAAGTGTATTGTTCAATTGGATTTTATGTAAAATACAAAAAATAAGGATTTTTAGATTATAAATAATTTATGGTGAGAAGCTCTTTAATAAATTCTTTGAATTTAAAATGCAACTTAGCAAAAATAACAACTTTATTAAGTTAGTAATTTAACTTTCTTTGAATAACACCATTTTGTTAAATAGACATTAATAAAAAAAAACTAAAAAAACTCAAATAATGTAAAAATTTAAGAAACATTACTAAATAATAAGAAAATAATAAGAAATAGAAATGGCAAATATATTTTTACTAATTTAAAATTAATATAGAAAAGAATAAAATAAAATTCTTGTTGCTTTGAATTATGGACTATATAGAGAGGAAAAAACAATAATTAGGAAAGAGAATTCTATATACAATATTGTAGACAATAGAGAAAATCAAAATATTATTTTAAGACTTCTTAAATAAATTATTATATATTATTGCTAACATGAAATATTTTTTATTATTATTTTTATGATTTTGGTTTGTGATGCTCTGAAAATTTCTCACTTTCTTTTTTGTTTATCCATTCTAAAATTGTAGTAATACTTTTAAAACTTCTTCTATTTCTTCTTCTGTAGATGAATTTGATGTTAATAATAGTGCTAATAGATCTTTTCTGCCTGAATAGTTTGATAACACGTTATTTTTTGTATAGTTTAAAAATATACTCAATAATTTTAACATTTAGATCTGGTATCTGAAAAGAGTAAGCCAATTATTTAATTAATATTATTATTCTTTTGAGTAGATATTAAAGATTTAGACTTGTCAAAAATTTCCATTTTTAGAATTGTTTTATTATTTGACTAAACACAGTACTCTTTTAAAATTTTTCTTTCAAAATTTTTTGTAGAGTTTTCTAAATATCTGTCATTTTATGTTTTTTAATATTTTCAAAAAATTAATTTTCCTAGAATCATTTTCAAAAAACATCAGAGGAATTTCTGAATCTAAAGAAAAGTTATTTTGTTAAAATTTCAGTAAATGCCAGGTTTAACTATAAAGAAAGTGATGAGTGCAAGACATTACCGAAAATTAGTCAATAATCTTATACAACACACACTCTGTGATATTAGATTTCTATACCTGATTTAATAAAAGTAAAACTTACCATAACCTGCGCATCCTTGAAATCACATGATTATGCCGATAGATTTTAAGATACACGATTTTAATAGAGTTTACTTTTTTGTTAGAATTATTTTGACATAATTATTTACATATACAATCTTCATTCATATCATAAAAAAATACAAATTATCTGTAAAATGTTTGTAATTCTATTCAAAGACTTTGTAAAATATTTTATAGCTAAATATATGTCAAAAAGTATTTAACTTATACTATTATTTTTACTAAATTGTTAGTTTATCCCAATTTGAAAGTTAGATGTGTTTGATCAACATATGTAATGCAGCTTTGATTTTTGGCTTGTGAAATAGTATTGCCATTTTTTTCACCCATGTGATTTATTTTAGCCTGAATTAGTTAGCCTGAATTACCAATTCGAAATCCATTTTAGTAATTTCATCTGAAATGCTAAATTTTTAAAGATTATAACATTTAATAAAACATGTAAAAAAATAATAAAATTTCTAAATATAATTAAGTGTGTGCAGATTTTTTCCTTCTTTTCGATGAATATTTAATGCTATATATTTGATAAAAAATTTTATTATAATTAAAAATGTACTTAAATTCATTGTTAAATCATCTGTCTATATATGCTCATTTAACTTTTCATTCCCTCTGAATTTCTTATTTACAAAAAAAAATGTGTTTTCCTTCCTTTTGTAATCAGAAATCTATACTTAATAATAAAATTATAACTTTTAAAAATCTTTCATCACTACAAAAAATAAATTATAAAAAAATAACTGATAAATTTATACTTCAAAGTATGTACTATTATTATATTATGATTGGTCAAATTTAAAACAAATCGCATTACGTAAAATAATAGGTTGAAATTTTTATAATTTAAGCTAACATTATAATAATTTAGCATCAGTCCAGCCTGAATTATACTCTGATATTTTTTTGATTTGATAAATTAATTTTTTTTTGATATATAAGCGGTAAAAAAGGAATTAAAATATGCATGTTGTAATTTAAAAATTATCTGATTATCTGATGAGATGAAAAATTTAAAAGTTTTAATTTAACTAACTGATAAAAAAAAAAATTTTTAATTTTTTTTAAAAAAATAACAGAAATCTTTTTATTAATATACATATTTATTAAATTTAGTAAATTAAATACTACTTTAAATCAATTACAAGATGAATATAAAGTTAACATTGATTAAGATAATACTAGTAATAAAGATTATTAATAATTATTTATTAGATCAATCAGTTTTACAAACATTTAAATTACTGAATTTTAAAAAATTTGAAATAAATGTTTATTGAATAATAAAAAAGTAAAAAAAAGTTTAATGATAAATTAATAGAATAAAATTTTAAAGCATTCTAAAAGAAACTTATAAATTATTTCTTATTATATAAGAAAATATATAATTAATAATATTGATCACAATGTAATTACAAAAAATTTTAGTTATTTCAAAATTAGATTAAAATTAACAAAATATGTTTTGTTAAAATGCTTAATAATAATGTTCAAACAAATAAAACTGAAAAAAATATAAACAAAATATGTTTATCAAGTAATTATTATTTTAAAAAAAATTAAAATATATATAAAAACTTTTTAATTATTCATAAAATTAGAAAAAAATATAAGAATTAGTATATAAGAGTGGGATACTACATATTGTTAACGTGCAATTTTGGTAGATCGCTACAGTTAAATGAGGTGTTCGAGTGTTGTTTCTTTTTAATGTACACAGTAATCTACTGGTTTATTTTCTAAGTCCTAGACTTATAACCGGTATCACTCAGATATATTAACGCTATATATTAC